GCCCGATGGTCGGACAACTTGGCTACTAGATGCAACACGTTGTTTCCATCTTCATCTGTTAAAGAGAGAAATGTTTTCTTCCCTGCATCAAGCCTCAAAACAAACCCTAAAAGACCTCCTTGACGATATTTGATTGCAGAGATGAGGATTTCTCTTGAAAGGTTTTTGTTGCACCAAATTAGATCTGGGTTCGATTTGAGGATCTCAATCACAATTTCGACTGTGCCATCCTTGATTGCTTGGAAGATTGCTGAGATTGTTCCACTTTCAACAAGTTGTGTGGCATCCCTGTAGGTTGATATTTCCTTGCACCAGTATCGCAAAACCGAATTGGCAAACGTATGGGTTAACTTCCGATTATATAAGTCCAAAGGTCTACCTACACCAAGTCGAGACAAACAATCGTGAAGAAAAAGAAAAATTACTTGAAGAAATTCTAAAGAATAACAAAGAAAAAGGTATAGTTGAGTGGACTTCATATACCTACGTACATGATGGGTAATGTTGCTCCTATTACTTTAATCCATGCTACTGCAATATCAAAATAGACAAACTCCATTCATATACTGGCTTGATATTTAATTTATTGTATGTCATTTGATTCAATATATAGGTAACAGAAGTATACCATGTAGTATACCATGTCTTCCGAAGATTTTTTTTCTGCTTCTGTCCGTAACCTCAGAGGGATATGGCACTTTAGCAATACAAACATCTTCAATGACAATGAAGGAAATTAATATTATTTAAGTAAAAAATGGAGAAAAAGCAGAAAAAGAACTTTTATTTCTTTTCTTATATTTATTGTACATTTAGGGTGTAATTACCTAAATGTACTATGTTTTAATTTATACCAATAAACGATTAGTTAAATTAGTACCTATAGATTTGAAAATTTTAATTCGGGATAAAGAATAAAGATTGAAATCTCCATGTTACAAAATAACTAATATTTTAATATACAAAAAAAAAAAAAAACTACATTTTTATTTATTTGTATATTCATCTACACTTAAATATAGTAAATGTGGGAAAGAAAACTAGAGAGAAAGGGAGACTGTTACCAACATTTATCCAAAAGTTGCTCAAAAGGGGGAGGGAATAGAGAAGGATGTTCAGACAATTCTGAAATAGTAATGGATTCTCTAGTGCTAGCTGCCAATTGCGGACAAAGAAGGAATAGATCCAAACCAACATCTGTTATATCACATGTATAAGTAGTTAACAGATTAAAGCCATGAGTGTACAATGCAAAATGTATATGGCAAGAATTAACAATAAATTAGAACTTAAAAATAGGAAAGCCTAGCAGTGTCCAACTCTTACCAA